GGTAATTTAATGAATAATTACCAATGTAAGCACGTAAAAAATTACATTTCCATAGTTAAAGAATGTTAATTTGGGTTTATTTCTGATAACTGATTTCATCTGTATGAATAGATGCCTATACTCAATTCTGATTTTTTTTCTTTATGCTAACTGCAGGACAACTAGGAATTACTTAAAACAGCCACCAGTATTTCTGGAGGGCATCATTCTCAGAAACAGTATATTGGACTATAGCCCTTGATGCTACAACTTAGGACTTTCAAGCTAGACATTTAACTTTCCATTATTTTATTCTAGTGACATAATTGTGAGTTGACAAGCAAAGTTAACCATCTCTCTCCCCATCTCTAGATATAGTAAATATATAGTCACCTTTCTACTTCTCATTTAAAAACTGGAAAGGCTGTTGAAAATAAATGTGGGGAAGAAAGTAAACCTAGCACTAAAGACACCATACAACACTCCAGATCATTACACATCGTAGTGACTAGCACCTTTGTAGTTTGCAAGAGTTTACGCTTTTACAATATGCAAAAATTTCAAATAAATCTGTTTAATATCAAGTTATATGGTAGTATTATTATAAATATAATTTATATTGATGGGACTTACTATGCTGGTCTTAATACTTCTGAATAAACCTATTAAGTACGTACATCAAAAACAATAGCTTCTTAATAAAAACTGGTTGGTTGTTGGGGGTGATGGCTCAAGCTTGTAATCCCAGTATTTTGGGAGGCTGAGGTGGGAGGATCCCCTGAGGTTAGGAGTTTGAGACCAGCCTGGTCAACATAGCAAGATCCCACTGCTACAAAAAATAACAATACAATTAAAAAAAAACCAAACTAGTTGGTCAATTATTTTGTGAGAAAAAGTTCTTGGTGACTGGACAGGTGCTGAGGTCTTGTATTCTGAATTAGGAGTAAGGTATAAGACAACACTGAGTATACTTGATCTACTCTGCCATTCTTCACTCTCAGCATTCGTTTAATCTGCCAGACCCACGCCCATTCACTATTGATGATAACTATTAATTCTGAACCCATTAAAGCCTATATAAGTACTGCTAATCTTTACATTGAAAGTCTATAGTAAATACTATATGTCTTTTGTATATTTCAGTGTAACCCAGTGACCACACTCTAACTTGATCTTAGAAACACTCAATCTTAGAGCTGGGAAGTGGTCCCACTACAAAGAGTTTGGGGTACCTTAATGGAGGCTACAATTAATGTAGCATACATTACAATTTATATTAGAAAATTGTATTACTAGAACGTGTTAAGATATGATGAAGCTGAAAATACAAAATCAAAATAGCAAAATGATGAAATGCAGTGAAAATGTTGCTTTTATGATGTCATCAAATATACAGCCACATTTCAAATTTGTCCAAATCTAGTTTATGTATTATAACTATATCATAATTACTAATGTAAAAAAGAAACTGGCTCATGATAATACCAATGTTAAAGTAAGCGAAGATGACAAGTACTGAAAAATGCACGTTAAAGTAGTTACTTTAGCTTGGAAGTGAAGCTACGCATCCAAGTTATAAATCTTAGCTAAGAAGGCAGTGCATATGGGTCATTTGACAAGTAGCACTTATGTAATATTTATAGTTGTATTATTTGGACTATTTAAAAAGCTCCATTCATAATTTATCTATATTACATACATTTCAGCAAAGATTCTCTAAGTAAATGACCCTAATCTTAGGCAACAGATACAAAGATAAAATACACATAGCTTCTGTATATTGAATCTATTATCACATCTTTGTTTACAATATTAAATCACTATATAAAAACATAAATATGCCAGTATAGTGCCTGGTATACAACAAAAGCTCAATACATGCTTTCTATGGTTAAAATAAGGTTAAGTAAGTTTAGGTAAACTTGAGCTGGTTAAGGTCAAGGAATAAGTACTATATTATGTTTAAATATGCTAAAGTGTTATAATGTACAGCTTATAGGAATAATCAGTTTTCTAAGAACTGGAAAGCCATTTCTTTTAACCTGGAGACATACTGAATCAACTTTAAACTTTCATGTTCACTTATCTAGAATGCATGCCAGAATTTTAGCATCATTAGTATTAGTATAAGGTAAGATTCTGCTATGGTTTTATAGAGGGATTGATTTACAGAGCTTTATAGTAACAGGTGTTAGTAAAAATTTGTACTGCGATTAAAGTTTCCACTTGACTCTGGACAATACCAATGCATACTCCAAGAAGGAAGAAATATTCTTTTGACTTCTCCAAATCACTAAAAGAAATTGGGGACTACAAATTAAAGTTGCTCTACCTGTTAGAAGCCCTTGGTAGCTACTGGTAAAACAATCATCAGTTTTCAGACATAAGAAGGGCTATGATCTAACAAATCAAAGAAAGGGTACCCTAAAAATAGAGATGAAGTGTTTCCAGCTATGTCTCCCTCTGAGACCATGTGACTGAGAGTAAATTCCAATGTGTAACAAATCCGTCTGCATGGAATCAGAAAAGTTATTTCTGGCTTACCTGCCAAACCACCTTTTGCTTCTGAAATTTAAGACTCAGATTCAGTGGCTGGTATATTTTAGTCTCTGACTTTACAGATTAATATAGTGTACTTAAAAAAAAATCAGGTCATTAAAAAACATTTATTTGCTGTATATTTTAAAACAGTGCCTTTGATAGATGACTTTACCCTCAATAAAGGAATTCTTGAACTAATTACTTTCAAGTCACTCGCCAGATTCTATAACATATCACCAAGACTTTGGTGTTGGGATATACATTTTATAATGTACAATGCTATATTTAAAACATTTAATTGTAGGCAAACCACATGATTTTATTCTGTTCTAATTATACGCATATATATTTATATATATAATTTGATTTGGTTTGTTTGATTATTTAACTTATATTTTTTCTAATCACTAAATTGAATATTATGGCATAAGTAAGTTTTTTAGAATGTGTTTCACTTATACTTCTATTAAAAAAAAAAAAAACTTTACTGATTAGGTTATGAGCCAAAAATGTACAAGATTTGATTGGTTGTATTCAATTTAGCTTTTTAAAAAACAACTGTCTATTTACGTTTTGTTTTCAAATATTGCTTCTAAAGTACAGGGTGACCACTTATAATGATTCTTAGTTTAGCATAGTAGGAAGAAGTGAGAAAATGGAACAGAAACTTGTGTGGTTAATAAACGATCTTTCATTAGCTCCAGTAGTGAAGTGTAGTCATGATTAGAACCTAAAGGTATGCAAAGGAGAAATCCTACTTAACATTATGTAAGTTGTTATTTCTCTTGTCTCCCAACTCCCAATAGGAGAGGGGGAAGAAGAGGGAGAGGGAGAGAAGAGGGAGAAGGAGAAAAGAGGTAGGGGGGATGGGGGGGAGGGGGGATAATTTTTTTTTCACTGAGGAATTACTTGCTTAGTCCATATGGAAATGTTACCTTAGATGTGGTTTAACTGAATACAGATGTGGGGAAAAAGGTGCCACATGGAGAGAAAAAACTTACATCTTTTGTTAAAAATATAAAATGCAAAAGAAAATGATAGGTATCCTTTCCTTGTGACACTAAACTATAACTTTATTTCTCTAAAAGTTTTAAGCGATATTATGATAAATTACTCAGTATTCTATCAGAAAAACTGAAACAATGTTGAACAATTACAGTGTTGGGTTCCATTTCAATGGTTTCTTTTGAGAACGAAAGCAAATTAGCTCAAGAATCACTATTTCTCCACTCACGCTCTTTTGGCTTTAAGTGGCTTTTGAAGGGAGTATCCCCAGATGAGAAAGTTCTAACACTCCTGCAGAGATGACCTGCTTGAAGAACTGGCTGTCTGATTAACTATTAACTGCTCTCAATAGGATTAGATAATTAAGGACATTGATGACCATTAATTAGGAGGAGGGCACATTAATTTGTCACTGGATAGGGCCCTTACAATGATTTATAGGTTAGTGCTACTTGCAAATGTGAAGGGAAAGAGAAAAAGAGAGAGAACCATTAAGTTACCTTATCAAGTGGCCAGCTTAAAGAGGGCAGAGGGTCAAAAAAGGGCCAAAGTGGTCACTTAAGGGTGAAGTCCCAAACACCAAAGCAGTGCCAAGCCACATTGACCATCATTTGGTGATGAAGTTAAAAATATGCTAATTTATTGGTGGCAATTCTCTCTTTTTATGGTTTCAAGCAGTTAAGACAAGTGGCCTGCTTAAGAGCTTTTCATTTGAAAAGAGATTAAACAAAATGGTTTGTCAAGGCTGCTTGGCTGTTTTATGTCTTTGTTGAAAAAAATTGCACCGACTATACCGATAACTATCACATCACCCCAAAGCCATCTTTCTCTGAACATTTACTTCGTTAATAAATACATCAGTTCTAATTGCTTAATAGTTCCCTGTTCATTTGCTCTTTAGCAAGATTAAGTTGAAATAAATCTTTTTGCACTACTACTTTCTGTCATCATTGCTTGCATAAAGGTCACAAAAAAACTTTAAGTGTTGTAGAACATTTACTTAAAGATATTAGTGTAAATTATACTTTGCTTAATTCCACACATAAAGGAAAAGGTAATTTCACTAAGGGTAGAGAAAAATGCTTTAAAAATGTAGATGAGAATCCTCTTTTTGTAGCCATACACAACTGTGGGTAGCATTCACATTCTATACACAAGTAAGCATAGCTCATTAACATTTAATTAAATCTGCTTTTGAAAGCCTTGGAAATATGCATGTCATATTTATCATATAACTTCGGAGCTCACTTTTAACAGACAATTAAAACAAAATCTTTTTTTGCTATACTCTAATAATATACCATTAGAATAAAAGGATATTCTAAAAAAATTATTCAACTACACCAAAAGAACTTAAAAATATTCAGCATGAAACATGGCCTAAGAATTTCCTCAAAGTGAAAAAAAAAGGCGCGGGGGAGAAGGAGATACTATTTGCCCCAAGACTGTAAATTTAAACATAAAAATTCTCTTACCTCAATGGTGAATAGCTTCCTTTTTAATTTAAAAGCTAAGTCTTTGACATCTGATTCGTCACAAATCAAATTATTAAGCCGAGGAATCTGCCGTATATGAATCAAGCCTTGTGGAAAGGAAATTTAAAAAAACACTGAAAAACGCTGTCATCGGATGCATAAATTAAAGAGTCTTACAGCAGAATCCTGTAAATTTACACACAAGCATCCTCCCCTTTTAAAACTGGGGCTTACTACCAGGAGCAATGAAGCAAATGGTGTGATTATACTCAAGTAATCAAGCAGAATAAGATAAACAGAAATCCTTGTGCGAGGAAAACTAATTGCACTTTGGTACAGAAGTACAGATGTAAAGAGGGATCTTAATACTTGTCAAAACTACAGCCGGTTTGTGTGTGATTTTCTCTTGTATTTACAGTAAGCAAATATGGCTATCACCTTGCTTGCTGCCCACGGCGCCACTGAGCGATCTTTATTTTATTAAATGCACCAGTAAGCAGCCAGCAAAACAAGGCTCATGGGTTACTGATAACCAGGGAGGCGCTAGTGAAAAGTAGTTCATTTTGTACCTTATTAATGACTTGAACAAATCCTTGAAGAAAACTACATTTCAGAGCACATGCTAGGACCAAACATTAACCCCTCTGCCGTCCCAAGACTCTCATTTCTGTGGCATGGAAGACCTCTGTGTGGCTGTGATAAGCTGTGCAACAGTGCTAGGTAAACCGTGAGCTTTGGCCTCTTGTCAGTAGAAACACTTGCTAATTTTTTCTGACAAGGGCACTGGATGGCTTTTGTGCAGCCAAATGTAGTTTCTGACTAAACTAGGGGTCATTTCCCACAGATGAAGACATGGAAGGTTCTTCAGTGCATCTTTCTGCCTGACTCAGTTCAAATTTTAAAATCATGATTCCAAGGACAACAATCCCTAAACATGGAGGGAAAGGCAGATTACAGATTTGAAAAAATAAAACTCCAAAAACAAAAAACCCAGATAAATATAATTGACAGAACTGCGTCTCTAATGCACGGTTTTGTGTGTCTGAATGCTTAATAATGCACACACTGGTTTTAGTTTAAAATGGTAAACCTTCAAGGGTTTAGCTTTAATAGTGGCCCCTTCCAAAATAATTCACTAAAATATGTGACTTAATTTTTAAACTTAAAAATGTAAAAGGTGTTATTAAGAAGTCAGCTTTTAGCTACAAATTAGAAAATTTCATATGTACTTTTTAGTAAAATATACTTATTAGAAATAGGCACACTATACTTTTATGTGCACATTTCTCATTTTAACCTTACATGTGCTTGTTTGGCTATTAAATCAGGAGGCCTTATAAAATGAATGAATGATTTAATCATCAGCTTTTTTTATTAACAGTTTACTAGTTTTCAGAACCACTCATTACTTTGTGGAGAATAATTTATCAATTCAGAGATTTTAACACAAAGAATCATAGCCTTATAACCTTTGAAATGTTTTAATCAAGATAGTATATTTTTAGACTACAAAATATAATTTTCCTAATTCATAAGCTCATAAAATTTATGATAGTCCATATGTAATTTACTAAGGTAACACTTAACTTGAATTAAAAGACAATGGAAATAATAATATATTAATGAAACAGTTAAGTCATAATAGCTTTCTTACTACCATAATGAAAACGATATACTAAATGAGATACACAGAGGTTTAACCTGGGCCCTACTATATGCACATGTATGCAACTCAACAACCATGAGGAACATTATTTTATAGTAGCTCTTGCTCACAGCTTCACTTTTCTAGACTTTAAAAAAATACCTGATTGTTGGCTTATCTTTTTTTTTTTTTAAAGGCGATAGATACTCTGATTCCTTAAAGTACTGGCCAACTATCATATAAAGCATCTTATAATCTTTAATTATTTTAATAATCTTTAGTTCTTTAATTCTTTTAATTCTAATATGTAAGCCAACAAAAAACCTGCCATAGTCTCACACAATTGCATCTTATACCATCTTATAGCAGGCTTCAAATAAGCTAGTCAGTCTTTAAATCAGAGTTTTCCAAGAAGTACAGTCGTTCCACAATCATAATAGCAATAATTTTCATAGACTCAGAATAAGTAAACAGGGAAAACATCTGTTATTTACTACATTCTAAATTCAGTTTAGACCTATGCTATTAAGACCTAATTACAAAGCTTTATTATTCATATGGATCTATGTAAGAACCTTTATCTTAAAAAATCCCTAACTTAACCAAATGATTCAGATATTTTTAAAAGTAAAAACAAATAAGTAAAAAGTCTGATGAATTCACCTGAATTTATATCAGAGTGGCAACAATTAAGTTTGTTCGCAATTCAAACTATCAAGAAAATGAGTAAACAGAGAGAAGTTCTTATATAACCAGAGATGTTCACTTTCTGAAAATATAACTGACTAGGAACTTAAAAATATAATATAGAATGTATATTATAAAGCTAAGCTTTGTAATGTATAATCTGCCACACAAAGCTGTTATTGTTAAAATCAACATGATATTTGTTTCAAACATGGCGAACAAGTATGACTGATTTCATGGCAACCTTAACGCACTGGAACAACAAAACACACATCTGACTGTGCCATGCCTCAGTACATGGGGTTGAGTCCTTTCAAATAGCTAGCACAGCCTGCAGTCTTCAGGGAGTTTGGTGATAAGATGCCATGGATGACTGGCCAGGAAAGAAAAACATTTAATAGGTATGGTAGAAAACAGAATTCATGCTACTTGACAGTAGATATTCGGACTGAACAGGATGCTTCCAGGAACCCTAGAACCCTCCAGCTCACACTCTTCTCATTTTGAAGGTGCTGCTTACCATGGTAGTCTTTATATAATGGGTTGGTTCCTCTCTCAGAACCCAGAAATGATTCCAGGCCAACTACTGTATCTGACAAGTTTGTGATACGAGCAATAATTGCTTTATTCTGTAAAACATGGAAACAAATAGTCATGTTAAAGATACAGCATCTAAACAATACCACGATACCATCTCAAAGACAAATTGTAGTGGAGACAGACTATCAGCATAAAGAAATAGTTTAAAAACTAAAGCTACTTAAGGCTGAAAACTAGATGAAACTATGACCTTAATTAAACATTCCAACCCACGTAGTTATGCTATTCTTATTCAAAGAGCTAAAGGGAAAACATTAAGTTGGTAAAAGACACAAATTGATTAGTGTTGGCAGAAATTTTTCACTTGTATTAGGGGAAAGGCTACTTTTATTCTCATACACAACTAGTGTTCAAATAGCTTCATCCATGGTGCACTGGAAAATCTGTCAGACAGCAGGATTCAGAGGCAGTAGATAGCACAGTAGCAGGTAGAAGGCAAGGGTCCCACTGTCGTCTGTCAGCTGGGACTAGGTCCCAGCCCTGTGACAGCTGAGGTCCTCTGTGACATATTAGAGACATGGAAGGGTCCAGCTAGAGACTGCAACACGGCTAGCTCTGGAGTCTTCTGTTGCCTCTTTCCAGATGCTGCCACCTGGCTCTGGGATAACAACAAAGGGAAAGAAAAGATGGGTCATGACTGACACTCAGACCAGCAGCCCATTTTTTCTTTCCCAACACAACCTGCAATAAGCTGAATACTGCTGACTACATCTTAAGTAATGACCTATTTGCCAGGCTAAAACAATACAGTAATACGTTTCTAACTAGAGTATGTCCAGTTATTAAGTGGTACAAGTTCTAAAATACCCGTAATTTCATGTCTATTAAAAATACAATCATCAAATACCTGGTAGATTTTTCTGAAATGTTTATTTATTGGAAATCCAGTATTCCTTTTAGTCCCTGACAGGGCGGTAGGTCAGAAAACTGTAATTATATGCTATAATATCTTAGGATAATTTTTTGCTCTGAAGATCAAGACAGGCAGAAAAATTTCTTGTAAATTTTTATAACTTTGAAACTCCCATTTATACATTGGCAACACCCACAAATTTAAAACTAATCTTTGAAGAAAAGAATAAGAAATTAAAAGGGTTCAGAAAATTTATCAGCCTGCTATGTTCTCTGTTAGAGAAGAGACCAGACATAAACAAAGATTTTCACTTTCTGAAAATATGATTTAAAAATGAACTTACTGGTATTCCTGTTTCTTAAGTCTGCTTATGAAGACTACATAAGAATAAAAACATAAAAGATGGCTGGTCAATATGATCTGACTTGGTATGAAATATATAATAGCCTGCGTCACCAAACATTCTGCTGAAATGACTGGTTAACTCACACCTAGGGCAGTATTTGAAACTCTTCCATAAGCTGGAATGTCTGCTATATAAAGAAATGTTTCAGCCTTTGAATCAGTAAAAATAATTACCTTAATTGTCTTTAATAAGTTCAATCACATGGGCACCAAGTATAGAAAAACAAACATAATTTGGAAATGCCTATTTTTCTAAGGCAATTTTTCATTCAATGGTGAGAAAATAATCCAGATTGATTCCTTACTTTCAGTTCTGTGCCACAGGGGATGGTTCTACTCCAGGAATAACAGGGGCTTCAGAGGCCATAAACATGTTCCTCTCAATATTTCTTTAGCCAAAGACCATTATATCAAACTCATCCAGGTTGGGTTTCAGCCAGTTATTCTTCACCCAAACAAAAATGTCTGCCAGACATTCCAACAGCTGGGATACAGTTCACAATGAGTCAACTTGAAAATGATTCATTGTGCTGAGGACTGAACAATGTTGGGGTGGGGGCGGGGTGTGGCTGCATTGGTAGTGAAGGGTGAGAACAAGTGGGAGATGAAGAATAACCATGTGCTTCCCCCATGAAGAAGAACCTTGGATAACAACCAGCAGGCTCTTATCATTTCAGTTTTAGTATAAACTCAATGGGGAAGAGTGCTCCTGTCACGGACCTCAGATGAACAAGCACTTAGAAAGGCTACTGACAATATTTCTTAATCAACAAGGTCAGATTTCCTTTTATCTATACATAAAAGACTAAGCCTTATATCTAAATATCTGAATTTAAAATGATAAAAGTCCATTTTTGTTAGAACTCAACTATTCAAGATTTCAGTGAGATCAACTAGGACTTTCCCAATTATATGAATAACAGAAATTGTAAAATTTGAAGATGAGAATAATTTCCATTATATAAGCAAAGTACTGTGCTTTTAAATGGTCAACCTGACATTTGTTAATCTCAGAGTTTCTTTCTTTCATTTATCTTAGAATTCATTAATAAACCGTTTTACAGTCTGCAATGTTTATCAACTTTGTAAGTTTTTTTAAGGTAGTCTGTGGTAGATTACAAAAAATTATCTACTATACAGAGGCAAAATAACGAATTCCAAATATAAGTGGTATGTACAGCCTAGATTTCAAAATCTCTCAGAAACTCATTCACATATTTCATTTGTATATTTCTAAGTTCCATAGGTTTACATCATAGTTATTAACTACAAACTGAATTATATTTTAAACTTTCATGAAACATTAGCACAAGAATAAACTCTTTATCATACTTATTACCATAAATAAGTTATAGTTCACAGTGACCTTATTGTTTTCTGCACAGTTTTTTGTAAAATAGTTTATATAATGTTGAAAATCCAATTAATTTTGAAAGCTGTACAGATATCTGAAAAAAATCTAGACAAAAAAAATGAAAAGTATGTATGAATAACATCTAAGTTTCTTACCAAGATAACTTTTATCTTTATTATAAAATCAAATCTTCCAAAATTTGTAGAAGCATAAAAGATATTCAGGATTATAAATGTATGTAACAAAGTTAAAAAAATTGTAATAGATTACTTAGGCAACTTCAAGATGTACAAGGAATATGGTCTAATGATGTAGTTTTACCTTAAAACCATTCTTGCCAAAAGGTCTTTCAAATCATATTAACACCAAGTGGTCTTTTAGATAAAGGTAGGTGAACTTACCTAAAATAATCTAAAATTAACAGCTTAAAAAAAAAAAACCTTAAAAGTATAATGATCACAACTCACTTTAGCAGGAATACACTACACATAATAAACTGTCATAAACAGCAGTGTTCAGAAAGTTTTAGTATAATGACCTGAACAGAGGTCTTGAAACTGGCACATCCACATTCTCATCCTAACAGATTCTAAGTATTTTTATGTTATTAGCCAAGATGCAAAACCTCTTTGGTCTTTAGTACATAGTTGGAAATGGAGAAGCAGAGGTATTTGTGCATCCATTACTTAAATTTGAACATAACCGCTGTGTTAATTTTGAGGTTGCTACATCATAGTGACTCACTTGAGTAAGGACATCCAGAATTTACCGGTATGGGTACATTAATGACCATAGTACATGTGTGGTATAATGACATTACCCAAGTACATACAGTGATATTGCCATCCCTCTTCCTTGCCCATCTGGATGTGAAAATGTAGGCTGGCTCAAATATCCTTCTTACACTAGACAAATATCTCTTTGCTTCTAGGTGAAAGTTGTCAGCTCTGGATGGTGGCCAAGACATGACTAGGAGGGAAGCCAGAAGAGAGGAGAGCCAGTGTCCAGGAGTTTTAAGACTTTGCTGGCAGTCTCAAATAGCATTGTGCTAAGTTACATAAAAGCCTCTTAAAATTTTCTGTAGCAGTGTAATTTCTTAATTAATCATTTAAGTTTAAAATATGTCAAATGTTATTGCAAATAAGCATGGCAAATCAGAGTATCCAGGTTTATAACTTATATTTCCATTTTAATTTCACAAAAAACTTCAGAGTTTTTGTTTTTACTATTCCCTGTTTGGTTTCATAAAATGTTTCTTGTTGGCTTTTATAGAATTGCAACACATTTTTTATTAGGATACCCCAAAACTGTTAAATTTTAAATTAAGAAAGATGAATTTAATGCTCACTTTCAAAACTCATAAAGTCAAAACTATAAATTTTGTTAGGGGATTAAGATTCAACTACTACCATATAAAGCTACCAAAATATTCTAATAAAAATAGTTCAGATACCGACTTAGAGCTATCAAGTAACAGAAACCTCAAATCCTGAATATTTCCTTAATTTTTGGACCTAATAATCTCAACAATATAAAAGATGCAATTTCTATCAATACAAAATATAATTTCCAGGAAACATTTTAACAAGAGAATAAGAGGTAGTTAGCCAATAACTTAATTATCAAGTTTGAAAGGAATAAACCAATAGACATAAAGCACTTATACAATGTCTCAAATAATAAGTTCTTGGGTTACTCAATTTATACTATTTAAGAAAGATAGCAAAAATAATATGAAAGAAAGAGTTCTCATTTGACTATGGCACAAATATCAGACTTGGGACTACAAGAGCATGAAAGCACTATTAAGTCTGTGCACTACTTTATGTTTGATAGTAGTACATGATATATTGTGTGTATGGGGGAGAGAGCAAGGAGGGGAGTACCCTCAAGAAACAAGAAAAGCAAGTATGTTACATTCAACAGTTCAATTTATAATAATATTTTCTGAAAAATGACATGCATAGAAACATGAATATACTAGGGCTTATGACATTTCTTTGTTATGAAATCCAAAAAATAAACTTGGATCAAAGGATAAATTGAGGGATTTTTAATGAGGTTATTTATTTTTCCATGCTTATTAAGTTCTCCATTCTACAGAATAACTGTAAAATAACAAAATGATTCCTATTAAGTTTGCAATTTGCTACAAACTTGTCCTGCCTTCTTCAGTTGTTGCTTGAGTATTCAATTTTTATTTTACTAAAAAATATTTGATGGTGGGAAAATAATTCTGCTCACAGTTATGAGTTTAAGAAAAAATATAACTTTATAGATCAAATTATGCTGATGCATATTTGTAATAAATTAATAAAAGTATTAGATTAAAGCTTTCCAGATTTCACACTGAATTTTATCCAAGTCAAATTAACAGTTAATTTTAGTTCCAGAGAGGAAATTTTGTAAATTAAAAA